GGGAAAGAGAATTATTTGATGCAAAAATCATATTCGAAAAGAGACGGAAACCATTAACCAATGAAGCTCCTTAAATCTTCTGAGAGTCCAAACCATAACAGGGAACTTCCATAGATACTAGTTTTTAAAAAAAATCTCTGAATGATTCTAACATATAAATATTTTCCAGAAATGGGAGACTTTGGGTGATGAGTTCACTTTTTCTTTGAAATCTCTAGGATCTAGGACTATTCCTACATCTTCATTTCCTTTTCCTGTGCTTCTTCAAAGTCAAATTATTAACATATTTCAGCAGTTCTACTTTCCCATACATTTTTAGAATGCATAATTCCTAAATGATTTATAAGGGAAAGTGCTATTTTGTTTTTTGACATTTTTGTGTCTATGCTGTATAGTTAAATACAGTGTGCACAATCATTTTAACTTTAAAGTTGCACTGGTATTAGATATTAAGCAAGATAATTAGAAAAAAGTTAAAAAGCAACAATTATATATTTTTGCTTAATTTTTATAAAATATTAGGTTTTCTCTTAAGATAGCTGAATTATTTTTCTTGCCATGCTTATTTATTTTTGGAAAAAAAAATATCTCTGAGATATAGAACCAAAGATAGAGATGCTTTGCTATATATTATAACTAACTACAATTGCTTTTGCAAGAAAACAATGTGGAATTCAAAAATAAAGTTAATGAATTACTAGCATGCAGTCTTTGTGTGTGTGAATAACATCTCAGCATGCAGAAAATAATTTTGGCAGCCTTGAACAAGATTGTCCATTCTACACTTCCCTGAAATTCCATGTATGGGAGTGTCTATTATTCAATAGCTGAATGGTTTCTTAAAACAGACAGGCTTTCGGCTGTCTTCATAACTAACATTGGCTGTATCTTAATATAGCCTTCTGACCACATGTGGAAGGCAGCTAGAATCATTGTATTCATGGTCTGGCTACTCTAGATGTATGAGTCCAGACTGACTGCTTAAGAGCCCATCTGGTTTGATACAAACTGTAGAAAATGCAAGCACTTTGTTCTGAGTCTTGTATCTACAAATACATAGTCACTTGTTTCAAACCAAGCAATTTTTATCACCTGGCTTATTCATGCAGTAGTTCCAGTTGCTTTCAATAATACAAATTCCAACTGGTAAATCATTCCACACTACTAGAAAGAGTTACATGGACCAAAGTCTGTGAATTTGGAAATGGGTCACAGAAAAAGTCTCTATTTGGCAAAATATGACAATTATCCCAATGTGTTTAAAAATACACAATTGAAAGTTAAAGCCTGAAGCCAATGAACTGTTTATTCTAACTTGAAACTAGACTTTAGTGAGAATAAATATTAAGAGAGCTATTTTATTTTAGAAGTTTGATGTAAAAATAAATGCTAAGGGCTCCACATGAACCTGTCTGCCTTTTTCAGAGTGAGACAACTGTCACTCTTGGGCTTTTGTTATGTGTTCACATGGCCACGTGTTTATGTAAAAGTTGCAGAAGTTCAATGTTTTGATTTTCCATAAAACTATGATATCTTTCACCTTGGATGTCCACTTCACCATACTTCAGATTGTACAGCTACATAAGTGGTGTTTCTGCATATATATACATATATATATATATATGTATATATATATATATGATTTGTTTGGAATTTTTGCTTATTGTAGTTGTCATGATTTTAATGCTTGTTATACATTATCTTATAATTCTAAATAAATATTCACTTTCATGATTGATTCTGTGTTATTTTAAAAGAAAGCCTTCAAAACTGTGTAAGCTTCAGATTTCACAGAACCTTCTCTGGACCCTGTCTCTTGCCTGACAACGACCAGACTCCTTGGGCATATAGCCTGTACCAATCCACATAGTTTCCTCATGATCCTCATGATTCTGAGGATCATTTGACAACAGACCATCACCACACTATATGTGGACCTTATACCCTGGGAAAACACACTCTGTTTATAATATTGTGTCCCTTTGATTCTGATATATTACCCAGCTTCTGTTTTCTCAGTGGAGCTAGCTCTATCTCTTCATTCTAATATTTTATTTACTACCTAATTCATTTATTTATTCATTTATTCATACAATTGTGGGTCAAGAGAGCAAGCAATGTGTGGGTTAAAGCTCTGCTCTGAGAATTTAAGGTACCAGATTTAAACTGAGCCAGATGACAATCTAATTTCTAAAATGACTAAGATGCACTTCTTCATCATAATAATGAGAAATATTTCTTAACCTCACGGACTAAATGTATTTGAAAACCAAAGCCCGAGCATTCCCCATATTTGTGAGTTCCTGGGTGTCTGGTTTGGGGTAAAGGAGGGGCACCTAATTCCTCCTAGGATGTCATTTATATTGTGGTGTATTTTGAAGTAAGGAAGATGTGCCTAAACGTGCATTTATTCTCCTCTTGAAGTAAGTTGGCATTTGGGGTGTGGAAATAGATGAGTTTGGCTTCCAACTCAGTGTGGATTCTGAGATCCCTTTCAGCCTGAGTGGTTGTTAGGGCAGGCTCTAAGGTTGCCCTAAACTGGATCTGTAATCTAGGTTTGTGTGTCTAATGGAAATGCACAACCTGTTATTCACCCTAACACACTGGATTAAGAAGACCCTCATCTCCTCCAGTCATAAGGCAGACTGCTGAATATCAGACCCAGATTCTAATTGTAAGGTTACAGAGCTGCATGGAAACTGCATTCACAACATTTAAAGATCTCTATATCAATATATGTATCCTAATAAGGAAGGAGTAGAACTCTGAGACCTGGAATAGTGATGAGTGTGGGAATCTTGAATACCTATAATCCTCTGTACACTCAGCCTGGTAAAAGCAGCCCCCTAACCCTTACTATTGGAGAGCAACCTCCCTGTTCCTAGAAACAAGGCAATAGCCTCATCTAAGGCAGCTACCTCAAAAAGACATTGCTTGTCTTTTTCAACACCCAACACTGATATTTTTCATTGCTTCCAACTCATGAAAAGTGTAAGGTATCATCACAGCACAAGGAACAAAATACAGTCTCTGTTTAGGTGGAAAATCCAGAAAGAACTATAGGAACAGGGTAATGTGTACTAGTATGAACTGGGATAATATACATTGGAATGGATTTTGAGGACTCACTGACATGAGTCATAGGAGTACAAAACTATGACTCAGGTTCAATGTCCTGGAGCTGCCTTCATATACTGCTTGGGTGGCATCTTAAACTTGGACAACAGGCTACAGTAAATGAGATGGAGATATTAGAACTTCCTTGCCAGAGTACTGAGGAATTGGTGAGAAGGTCAAAGGAAGTGGAGGTATTAGAAATAATTTATTGCATGAGACGAGGACCTATCTCTAAACTACTTTCCCTAGGAGGGCAGAGAAGACACTACAATAATAAAGACTGTGCTGGTGAGGGGGAACACTTGACATTTTTGAGAAACTCAATGTTGGCTCTCCTCTGCAAGCCATGATTGGAACTAAACTATGTTGCAATGGAGATGATAAGATTCCAGAATGTCAGAGCCTAGTTAGCAGCACAAAACCTCAGAAGCAAGTTGGGTATAATTACCATGATGCGAAGCAAGGTCAGAGTGGAGTCAAACTAGTTTGACTGACAGGAATCTGTGGCAATGCCTTATAGATAGTGTTCCAGGACTAGAGTATGAACAGCTCACTTCTTTTGTACAAAAAGAAAAACATGAGACTTGGCAAGTCAAAGTCTGATGTTAGCAGCTACAGTGGAAAATTGTGGTCCCCCACCAAGTTTTCAGATCTGCAGTGCAAGTTGTTCTGCTACTCAGGCCATATGACTCGGCATATTTGATAATGCTTACAGCATCTGTGATGGATAAGGATGCACTATCTAAGTTATTCTAAGCCATAATATGGGAGTTGCAACACAGAATCCTGGGGTTCTTAACAGAAGTCATACCTCCTATGTCAGTAAACTACTTGCCAATTAAAACATAGCTCCTTATATGCTATTGAGGTTAGTATATATGGAGTGCCTAACCAAGAGTTAACAAGTGACTATACAACAGGAGCTGCCCACCACAAGCTGTACATTATAAGATTCACCAAGCGATAAGGTCTGGCAGGCTCAATAGCAGTCCACCCACGATGGAAATGCTCCAGGATCCATCCTGAGAAAGCACAAATAAACCGACTGATTGCACAAACCCCCATGCCTTTGACCACTGTTACAATGATGCCCCTCGTGAGGTAGGGAGTGATCTATGACCAACTAATGGAAGAGGAAATTATCAAGCCTGGTGCACAGATGTGTGAGCATTAAATATTAATGGTAGCTATAAACGGACTACCACCACACTTCAGCTTCAGTTAGAGTAGCCCTAAAGAATAATGTTGAAGGGTAAAACTTCCAGTTGGCAGAGCTGTGAGCATTACACCAGGTTCTTCACTTTGTATGGAGGGAGTAGTAGCTTGAGGTGGTCACCTGGACTGTGGTGAATGATTTGGCTGGTATGTTAAGGTCTTGGAAGAAGAATGTTTGGAAATTGAAGATAAGAAAGTTTGGATATGAGGCATGTAGTTAGAACTATGAGAATGGAAACAAAGCATATGTGTCTCTGGCCTCATATTAATGGCCATCCAAGGAACTGACTGTAGAGAAGGCACTTAACAACCAGGTGGATCTGATGACTCATGTGGATGTCAAACAGCTTCTCTCCTCAGTCATCGTGGTTCTGGCACAATGAATCCATGAATTGTCCTGATGGCAGGGATGGGGCCTAAGCTTGAGTTCAACAGCACTGGTTCTCTCTCTCCAGGGGTGATCAAGCTACTCCCACTTCTGAATGTATAACTCCCCAAGAGCAACATCTGATGCTGGGCACTCAATTCTGTCCCTTCCTTCAAGGATATCATCCAGCTACCTCATTTTACATTGAATGCACTGCACCCATTCTAAGAGGTGGTAGTTATTCATCTTCACAAAAATGGATGTCGACTTTGGACCCATAGGGTCAAGTACCACTTGCCTGTAGTGACGTGCAGTTTCATAACACATCCTTGTTTGACTTTTTTCCTTGCTTCACCACACGTTTTTCTTACTCTG